GGAGAGAAAGGAGGACATATGGATGAGTCACTATGAATGCGAGTGTGTGTGTGTGGTGTACAATGGACAAGTGCTGGGATCATACTTGCTATTGTAATTATAAGGCACCCTCCAAATTTGGACGTTTCCTAAGGACCTGCTACTCGTCTTCTACTTCTACACGTGGTCCTCTCACAAGTCCCACCACTCTCATGGCTTTGGTCAACCTTGTTTTTTTTGGGGGGATTGAAACAGGGTTTCATCATGTTGCCCAGGCTGGTACTGAACTCTTGGGCTCAAACAATCCACCTGCCTCAGCCTCCCAAAGTGCTGGGATTCCAGGCACGAGCCATTGTATCTGGTTAGCCTTCATTTTTCTTTGTAGCTTCTGTCCTCATTTTCAATGAACTACTAGAAAATAATCCAAATCTCTAAAGTAAGTTTAACTGGGAGGCTTGTGCATCAGAGGACTTATCTGACCTGCTACCTACACCTCTTTGATCAATGAAGAAGGAATCTAAGGGAAACAAGATTAAATAGGAGAAAGGAGGCATGGAGAGAAGAGAGAGATGGGCACAAGCAGGCGGCACACAGAGGAATCTGCGCCTACCATCCCTTACCCAGAAGCAGGCCAGGGCCTCAAAACTTAATATAAGGATGCTTACTTTTCCACAGCAGGTTATACTGTTTCCATTTGTTCACAGTTACTTTAAGACAGTGGTGTGGGGTTTGTTTGTTTGTCTTTAAAAGCACTACAGAAGGAAGCGAGAAAGGCAAATCACAGCCCACAAATGAGCTGTCCTGACTGCCTCCAAATGGTTCATTTTCCCTACCCCGTTCTATGATCTGCAAACCCTGATAAGCCTTCTATAATCTTGCACCATCGTAAAGTGTTTCTTCTCGAAGTGCTTTAAAGATCCCCACTGCTTATAGAAAACATTCCAAACTCAGACCACATTCAAAGTCCCAAATCTTTTGGGTGTAACAGATTTTTTTTTTTTTTCCACACTAAGGCTGCTGGATCAGAGATAATCAAAATCTGATATACTGTACGTGACAAGTAACAAACGCAGGAAATGGGTACAGTGAAGGGCCACATTGAAGGGAGAAGTCAGAGGAATCTAGGCCTGTTAATTCACTCTCAAACAGCTTGAAAGAGAGTTAATAATAAATGTGTGAACTGTAAAAAGAAAATCGGCAAAAGAAGGTTCTTTCTATTTTAATCATGCCAGAATCAGATCAGTCCTGAGACCTCAGCTTTTGACAATTAGGGTACATCCCTGTGGTAATGACTCAGTTATGATTCATAAAACTGCAGAAAATGAAGAAGTGCTGGGATGTAGATGGCTCAAAAGCTCTCTGTAGAACCACAGAAAGAATTTAAATGAAGTTCAGTAAGTAAGCAACACTTTCTTTAAGGAAAAGAATGTGTAACAAAGCTAGTGGAATTGTGAATATATAAAGACTGGCTTTAATTTTTGAAGGTCTCTTACCAGACATTAAGAACAGTTGATGCAGTTACTGAAATGTTGAAGTATTTGTTTAAACTGACATATGTCCCTTGGCTATAACAGCTAAGCTTTCCAATTATAATTTTGCAACATTTCATGAAAAGTCGTATTTTAAATAGTAAATGTTTGCATTAAAAGTCAGAAATGTCAAAGGAAGAAAAAGGCAACACAAAAACATTTATCAATGATACACGTGAATAATCTTACAGCAATCTTTAAGTATAAGCGAATCCCCCTCAGCTTTCCTGGGCAGCAGCTGAAGTCTCTGCTGGATCACAAAACACAACTGAGTTGTGACAGTCATCCTCAAGCTCCTGTAAGCTAAAAACTGTCTTCCCTCAACCCAGAAAAATAATCTAGTTATTTTCTGTGATATCACTGAAGACAAAAAGTGGCCTCCTACCTAGTAAAATACTGTATTGACATAATTTATCAACCTACTATTTTAATCAGTGGAATACTTTAAAGTTACATATTCAAAGACATCTATAATTATGCAAGAATAAGGGACACCAAGGAAAGATTAAAAATTAGCCTAGGCCAGGTGCGGTGGTGGCTCACACCTATAATCCAAGCACTTTGGGTGGCCAAGGTGGGCAGATCCCCTGAGGTCTAGAGTTTGAGAGCAGCCTGGCCAACATGGTAAAACCTCATCTCTATCAAAACTACAAAAAAAGTAGCCAGGCATGGTGGTATGCACCTGTAATCCCAGCTACTCAGGAGGCTGAGGCACAAGAATCACTTGAACCTGGGAATTGGTGGTTGCAGTGAGCTGAGATTGCACCAATGCACTCCAGCCTGGGTGACAGAGCAAGACTCTGTGTCAAAAAAAAAANAAAAAAAAAAAAAAAAAAAAGCTAGCCTAAACAAAATAAATCAACCAGTACCTTGCTAAATAAAATAAGCTCAATCCAAAGTTGGCAGCTTTCCAGAAAAGCATGAGGAAAATTTTTGGTTGCTATGATAGCAGATAACAAATTACTTATGTTTCATATAAATACCTTTGTTTAAAAAATACTTTTTCTTAAAAACCATATTAATTGCCAGATTGAAATAAAATAATTGCTTAACAAACACAGCTGTTAAATGAATTAATGGTTTCAATACTAAAATGTGAAATCTCATCAACAGGTTTTGTCACACTCCCCAAAACACTGAAAATCATCTACAATTAAAATTATCTGTGCATTTCTTTTGCATAGTAAGAATTTTATTTTGTTAGTATTTTATTTAGCATAGTATCTCCCCAAAAAGGGAAGTCACTTGATCTACAAAGGAAGAGGAGAAGTCATGTTGAGCAAGAGACATCTGGAACAGGCAAACTGTGGCTCTGTGACTCTCAGGCTTGGATCCTACAGTCAGTGGTGTGTAACTCAAACACTCACAAATAATACTGATACTCTCCTTTACAATCTTCCTTATCTAAAGTATACCATATCATATTAAATATTTTGTAACAAAAAATAATTTTTTAGACAAAGAATGAAAATGTTCCTTGGGTTTAAAACAAGCACCAATATTTATGGTATAGAACCAAGGAAAACTGGCTATGATTCATGAATATTAATTAATTTAAATAGACACAGCTAATTATTTAATTATGGTAGAATAATAATAAAGAACAAGGTTAATATGAAGATTTATCAGATTTTTTGTCATAGTGGAAGGTGGAAGGTTGATAATTTTGGCTGAATCAATTACTATAAAAAGTAGAAATTCAATAGGCTCAGAAATGTTTATTATTAGCAGGGTTCTTTAAAATGCGATATCATCTTTGAATTATATTCCAAACACACTGTAATTCCATTCACCCTTCTGAAACAAGGGATTTTTTTTGTCAAAAATTCTATTTTAAATTTCTGATTCCTTTTACAAAGTTAAAACAGGCACCCCACTACCTGTTAAACATGTATATTGGAAAAGACTATGATCACAACATACAATTTTAGATTTTAAAAAGACTACAAAGAGATGAAAAATGAAACCTCCAATTCTAGAGCACTGAATGTCACACAATGAAACATTCTGAGGAGACAGCAAGCACTTAAAGCCAGGAGTCTAAACAGAGAATAAAGAAAGAAAATGGAATTAAAAAAAAAATTGAGTCATGTATGAGTTACTAAAGAAGACAAATATTGAGAGTAAATGAATTTACAGTAACTAACACAATGAAATCATATACAATAAGGTACTTCAATATTTGAATGCTTTTGGAAAATATTTAAAACAGAACTCAAAACCTTCACTGCTAAGTGAAACAAATATGCCATGGAAGAAATAGCAGATCCTCAGGCAGCTCTCATAATCAAAGCAATGAGCTCTGTCTTTGCTGTTCTCAGGCTCGTTAAATCTCCCTCAGTCACAATGCAGTTCTAGCTGGGTGAGCCTAGACTGGGGGGAGTCTGGCACCTGTATCCCAGAGAATCAGTCTGACACCAGGATGGCCCTACGCCACCACAAGTCTTAAGAATACCAGATGGATGGCTCAGGTGTTTTGAAGATTTCACAATAGGGTTTAGCTCTGTGGTCCTGAAGCCTATCAGGCATCTAAGTAGATGTGAAAATTTTTAGGGAGGAGAAATCAATGTGACTTGGAGCCCTGGAATCTTGGCTGCAAGCATATCAGTGGTGGGGAATGAAGGTGTGAGTTCTAAGGAAAGAATAAGCACAGAAAATAATACAGACAGCTTAAAGGAAGAAGAGAGGTAAGCAGGCTTACAGGATGACACGCTGGCCCCAAATACCAGTCATTCACCTGAGAAACAAGGATGGTGATAATTTACTTGAAATATGTGCAGTGATTATAGCGAAATGTGTATTATTAGAAATCCATTCTGTCATTTTCTTAGTCTTTTCCAAGAAAGAAATTAAAAGTATGCTCTATATCCACTAGTTAAAATTTATTTTTATAAATCTGGAGGTTCAAATTTAAGTCATGGATGAAGAATAAAACTCCACTTCATGCTCTAATTTTTTTTTAAATACCTCATAGAGAACTTAGGACAAATACTTAGTATTAAAATACAGTAGCATGGGCGAGATGAAAAAACTCCAGCACACAGGCTGAGAGTGCTTTGTTCATCCCCTTCTTCCATGATGAGTCTTCAGTCAGGTCCAACCCACCTGACTTTCCAGTTGGCATTATTATTTTCCCTCACGTGACAATGTCTTTTTACAAAACGACCAGAACACCTCTCCTTATTTTTAGTAAGTCCAACTTCTTCATTTTCAGCCTTTTTTTCCTATGATATAAAAAACGACACTGACAAAAAAAATCTAGCTAAAACTTTCATCAAAATTACCTTGAAAACACAAACTGGACTCCCTTGTCTCAGTTTTCCATGTGACTGGCCCTTTTTAATCACTACAGAAGTAGCATCAAGTCAGACCTGCTATGGTTAAAAGAATGTTGAGACAGCTGAATACTGACTCACAGTCTCAATAGGACAATTTTCCTAATTTTTTTATAGGAGAGAGAAAGAATTGGCTGTAAAGGTTTGTCACACTTACAAGTCCACTTATGGCTACAATCCAGATGTAGGAACCAGAGGTGAAAAGCTATAAAAGGAAAAAAAAAAAGGCAATTGAAAATAAAATTCAACTGCCAGTCACAGCATACTTATTTTTACATAACTACAATTATGACAATTTATATAAAGTATTAATTATATATGCCATAATACAGATAAGCAAATGGAAAATTAAACATCAATTCTGTTACTTGTAAGTGAAACTCAAGTGTGATGTTATTTTCAAACTTTAATTGACTTAAAGTAAAATACTACATGTAAAGAAATTATCAGAATTAACAACATACAAAACAGGTAATCACCATCCCACACTTGGCAATGACATGATATTTATGTAAGTAACTTTCTCATTTTAATTTCTTAAATTGTTACCCTAAATTTAGATGAGAAGAACCCCGCCAGCCTCCTTAGCCTAGCATGTCCAATAGTAACTTTCTCAAGTGTTGATATTCTCATTCTAGCTCACCCAAGGAAGAGCAAACTAAATAACATAACAAAGTTAATTAATGGCAAAAGTAATTAGAATTAGATTTCATGAAATCTTTCCTTTTGTTTTCCAAATCGTTTATACCTTAGAGTTGTGCTTGGGGTTAAAAAATAATAATAATTATTATAATGCCTCTGAAAGTGTTCCTGCACCAAATACATGATGTGTGGGTTGTTGTTGGTTAATGTTTAGAATTTCAGATTGGGGGTTTACTGCTTATTGTGGAGAAAAAGGCAGGATACTCAGGCAGGACAGCCCAAGTTCACTGCTGACATTGTGCTAGATGAAAACTTCAAAGTTCTGCACACTTACCAAGGACAAACAGAAAGAAGATAGACACAAAAGGTAAGAGTTGACACACTCAGATAAAAAAGAGGCTGGCAAGCTTTGCTCTAGTGACAGGCTTACTTAGAAATGTGCACTGGCTGCAACTTTCAATCTGATCCTTTGATCTGGCACGGATCCTGTTCAGTGCAAATGACTCTGAATGATAAGGATGAGAACCATGTAGACAAATATTCTGCTGTAGTTTTCTTCTAAAAATAGAAGGAACAACAGACTAGCTAACACTTTCTATGTGTCAGGCATCGCTCTCAAGGCACTGCAGTAAAACCAAATGGTTAAACAATTTGCTGCAGGTCAACAGCTAGCAGGTGGTGGGCTGGAGTATATCCAGGAGGACTGGCTCCACAGCCGTGCTCTCCACTCTTCCACGTCTCATATGCAAGTAAAAAGAGCATATCATTTTGTCAGTAAAAAAATAATTTCCTCTGGGCTCTGAAGTCTTCACTGCTTGTGTGGTCCCCAGTGTGTCTGCTTATGTCTTGACAGTGTCTGTGTGTTTTCTCATGGCCGGGCTCCTTGAGGACAGGGGCTACACTACATCTCACCCAGTGGGTGACACTGATTTAAGTATCGGACAGCTTGAGAGCCCATAACATCATAGCCCATTGCACAGTGCATAGCCCATAACATCATAGCCCATAACATCATGCGCTGTGCAATGGGCTATGATGTTATGGGCTCTCGAGCCACTGGATACTTAAATGAGCCTTAACAAGAGTTTTGGTCTTCCAATTATGATTCAAGTCTTCATTCATTCATTCAACAATGTCCCTGGTTGTAGTGGGAAGAGAAAAAGGCACAGAAACACATGTAAAGGCTTGGAGGGGAGGGAGGTAGGCAGAGAACAGACACTTTAGCAATAAGGAGTTCAGTCACACTCCTTCAAGGTGGGCACAGGTAGGAGTTGACACCAGACAGGCAAGAAGAACCCTGAATGCCATTCATGCTAAGGACCTAGATATTATCAAGGAACCAATGAGGCATCTTTGCCTCTACTTTCTGATCTCAACTTCTCCCTCACAAAGTTACTGGAAATAATACAAAAATATTGGACATTTATATTATTTGGAAAAACTATCTGTGGTAGCTGCATCTACCTTTCTGCTTTTGGCAGAGCTAAGGGGGATCCCTCATGGTGAGCTGTGTAACACTGCGGAAACTGCATTAGAGATTAGGTTGGTGAAAAAGTAATTGCGGTTTTTGCCTTACTTTAGTGGCAAAAACAGCAAATACTTTTGCACCAACCTACTACAATGGCCCTGTGACAAAGGCCATGCTGTGCTTCTTCATCCAACTAGGATCCCCTTTCCCTAAGAGATTAAACACACTACTTATTTTGCTTTATGCCAAACAAAAAAAAAAACCAAGAAATCTCAAAAAATAAACAGTGGTAGGTATAGAGACAAAAATTGTTAATTAATAATAGTAACCAGTTGACTTACGTCTTATTATCTGTTCAGACTACACTAAACACACTACCTTGAAATACTCTATAAGGTAGATATTATCATCCCCACATGACAGATGGGGAAATGGGGGTTCAGGAAAGGTAAGTGACAAAACAAATCATTACCAGACCAAGTCACATAAACCGAAGTCCACTTGGCTCCAAAAACTTTCCACAATGTCACACTGAATTACTACCGCACAATTAATAAAACAGTGTTTTCATTCTCAAAGATTTGGCATAGCTTTAGAGTTGGAAGAACTATACAGCCAACGTGAGGCTCAGAGGGGTCCCATGACTTTACCCAAGTCTCATGGCTGGCGAGAGCCATGCTAGGACTAGAACTTGGGTCTCCTGAGTGAGGTCTGGAGTACTCTTCGCATTCCACATGGCCTCTGTTTTAACAGCTTTAAAAATATTAAATCTGCTATAGCGAATCCTACTTATAAGAATCAAGTGCAGAAATGGGCTATTTGGTTACACGGATATCAGGTAGGATAAGGGGGCGTGTAATGGTACGGGGGTTGAGAGACAGAGAATAAACAGATTTCATGAGAAACGGTTGTAAAAGTGGTAAGAAAACACCCGCCCCAGATGAGCCATTGATAACACATGACAGCAGACTGGAGAAGTGAGAGGAAATGCTAAAGGTTAAAAGGGGAGGGAGGAAGGCATTCTGAAGCGACACTAGTATCCGGTTAGATGTGCGTGGGATAAGGAATGTTATGAGTATTAATCAGTGGATCAAAAGGCCAAGCGACACACGGTGACACAGGAAGCTGTAGAATAAAACGACATCAAAAGCCATGAGAGTAAAAGAAAAGTGACAAGTAGTACGACAGAAAACTGAAAAATCATTCTCCTACCACAGGCCTGGAGCCCAGTAGGGAGCAATTAACATTTGCTAGATTGGCAAAGATAAGCTTTTCAAATTTAAGCTAGACAATAGTACTCTAATGGTCTTAACAGCAAACCATGTAGCAAATGGTGACACTACCATCATGGCTACACAAACATGGAAATAATGAAGCTGACAATGCTTCTTGAAAACTCCAAAGCCTGGCTTGGTAGAGCACACTGAGTTTCTTCTTCAGAGCTTTATTTGTGACACCATATTCGATAAATTAATTTTGACACTGATTTTCTACTTTCTACTTTTTTAGTTCTCACTTGTTTCCACCTCATACTATGATTGTTAGAAAGTATTCACATGCAATTGTACAATGAAATGAAAATATTTTCCACAGATACAAATTTTGGTGAAAGCTCTTATCAGATTTCTAAAGGCTATGAAAGTATTCTAGTACCTTCTATACCTCAATGTTCTTGTTCTGTAACACTTCCTTTAAACATTTGATATAGATCATGAAGCCAAGATTATGGGGGAAGAAAAACCATTGTTTTCAAGGAGATCAAATGAGAAAAAGATGAAAAAAAAAAAAAAAAAAAAAAAAAAAAAAAAAAAAAAAAAAGATGAAAAAAAAAAAAAAAAAAACCAGATCTGGTTAAAGTGAAGTGAACATAAAAACGCATACTGTACCTGTAGTCCCAATATATAAATCAACGTCTTGTTTGTGATGGACAACGGGCCCAGAATTTGTGCCACTTGGACTCTCGGTATGGAGCAGTAAAATGGTACAAACAGCGCAAACACAGGTGCCAGGCTATGCAAACAAATAAAAAAAAAAACACACTATAATAGTGAATTTTAAACACCAATGGCAGATGTATTTTTGATATAACACTGCTTATAATTTTATTTCAGTCTGAAAGCATGGTCTTAAGACATACAAGTTGATTTTCAAATACACATCATGTCCAAAATAGTCTGTACTTATGGAACACTTTATGAAAACTCTAATCATTCTATCCTTATTGACTCTCCCAAAACCACTGCAAAGGAGTGGTTCAGCACCTACTAATTAATTGTGAGAAAAGTGGAGGCTATATTTTCTTCCTAGGTATGACTAAAACCAAATGAGAGAAATGAGACAAACCAAAAGCAGCAAACATTAGAATTCTTCACGGTCAAATCCAAAAGCCCCCCTCTCAGGCCCTGTCTAGTGATCTGTTGCCATGGCACTGGCACGGTTCACCTCTGGCCCTCCTTTCCTCACACTCCTTCCTCCCTCCCTTTGTCTGAAACCCAGTCGTTGTCCAATGATTTCTTACACAACTGGCTTCTCCACGGTTCCCTTATAGCCTTTTCTTCTTGTTCTATCATCTCCTCAGACAATCTCAATCCTTTCTATGGCTTGGGCCAAGAAAATGAAGTGAGACCTAAAACTATCTGCCCACCCCTCATCCTGGTTCTGAACATCAATTTGCCATCTTCACCTTGACATATTCAAAAGTCTTAGGTGTCTTTCTACTTACAGTCTTGCTTCTCTCTAATCCATCTCTTACCATTGTTTTTCTCTTCCTAAAACACAACTCTGATCACATCACTCTCTTGCTTAAAAACCCTTCCTTCCATGGGCTCCAGTATCCAAAGATAAAATGCTTCATAAGGATGAGATGGCAAAGCTCCCCAGTTCGCTCTTATCACTGCAGATTGCCACCACTGTCCTCCTCTCTGCCTCCGCTCATCTGGCTCATCACACACAAGGCCCTCTCACACATGCACACAGCTGCTCTCTGAACATACTGGCTGCTTAGACTCTCCACTGACATAGGTTCTGCTTTCCACTTTCCTGCCTAGGAAATTCAGCTTGTGCAACACTGCTCAGCAATTCCCATAAGACTTCTCTGACTCTTCCTGGTAGCTGGTGGCTCTCCTTATGGCCCCCAAGCTGTCAGTTTCACCATTTCAATGAATCAGTGAATCAAATGTATGCTGATGATGTCAAGGGAGAATGCCCAGCTCAGGAGCTACAACTATATCCAAGAGAAAGAAGCAGTCCCTGATCTCAAGGAACTCATTACAGAGCTGAAGTCTTACATCCTACAAGTGCTGGGCAGGTAATATGAATGAGTAGAGTGCTTTGGGCACATACTTGCACCCATTTTTCATTAAACACTTGGCTTAATTACTTAGTCTATGTTTTATTTTCCCAGTTTTGGGGAAATGGTACCAGAAAAAAAGAATTATTTCATTATCACAAGAAAAATGCAAAAAATATGTTTCACTTCTACAAAGAACTGTCCTCAGTGCCATTTTTGTGGAAACATAGGAAGGACCCTCCTGGCCTCTTGTGCAATTTCTCATCATTGACAGAGACTATCTTATTTTTTAAAATACACTGTCCTCTCAATTCTATTATTAAAAACAAAACCAAATCAAAATATAACACACACAAAACAAACGTGATAAATGGCAGCCCCATCAACAGCTATCAACACAAAAGCAGCAAATGCTAGAACTGCAGCCAGTAAGGCCTAAGTGTACCTTACTTAGTACGCAGGTACTGTGTCAGGACTGGGGACAAAGAGATGCCAGATACACCTGGCTGGCTGTCCAGTGAGAAGGATGGCAGGGACTGGGTAGCAGAAGGAGGTGGATGGCACAGTGGGCTCCTACCCCCACTTGCCCAGCCTAGAATTCCTCGATTATCAGGCCTTCCTCCCAGGCTAAGCACCTCAGTGTAGGGAAGAAGAGGCAGTGCTGGTTCTCCTAGCACCTGGCACAGTGCTTGGCACAGTTCAGGAGCTCACTACATTTGGGGCAACAAAATAATCCTTATTCTAGAACAACTGTATGACTCACATTTGAATTAACAATATAGCATTCTCAAAAACCTCCCATTAGATTATTAATTCTGAGAGAAAGCATCATATTTTATCTAGCTTTGCCTAACAGGCATTCTTATACATGATCCATATTCAGTATTGGTTGGATTTTTTAAAAAATTAACAAAGCAGTTTTTAAACACTATACAAAAGAATTGCTTTTATCCAATTCTAAAACCAAACACAATTGATTAAAATAGTTAGGCCTTCTTTTCATGGAAAAGTATGAGTTAGTCGCTCCTGGGCATAAATCCTCCAACACCTCCCCACCTACAGTCATGACAAAGACGTCCTAGGCCCTGTGTCTCATCCCCATCCTGACCCTGTGCTCCACAAGACAGCACCTTCTCAGAGAAGCCCTCCCTGACTGACCAATTTAACCTGCACCTCCCGCCCTCACAGCCTTCCCCCTCTGTATTCTCTACTCTCTTCCAGACTCTTCCCCCACAGCACTTATAACCTTCTCAGCACTGCCTGACTTGTCTATTGTCTATCTCAAAAACAGAATGGAAGCTTCACACAGACAGGGATTTTGGTCTGTTTTGTTTGCTGTTTTATCCCCACTGTCTAGAACTGTGCCTGGCATAAAGTAGGTTTCAGTAAGTATTTGCAGAAGAAATGAATTTTCCTTTAAAACAGCAAAACCATACAGCAGAACTTAACTCGCCTTTTGTTTTAAAAAGTCCCCTTCCTTTTTATCATTTTTAATGGGATTAAAACATATGGTTTCATATGCAGCTCAAAATATGGCCTGCTGGTCTCTTGGTGATTATAAAACCCTATTTGGGTAGCCAATTGCACTGAAGGTCTCTTACCACAGAACATATCCTTTGAGGTGCTTAATTCACAGAAGTTCTTCTGTTTACATTTAATAATCAAGTGCAAATAGTGATGTTATAACTAAAAAACCTAAAGCAGAGTTCTTGTTTGAGGTTACATTTCAATGTAAACTAAAAAAACACTGGCAGAAATTTTAATGACCACAGTTTATATTTCACATACCAACAGACATTTAAAAATTCCTTAAAAATTATTAATCACTATGTATTCTTAAATGATGACTAAATACTAGGCCACATTTACACATTTCAGACCAAAATTATATGGGCTGTTCTGGAGAAATTTTCCATTGCTATTTCTATACACACAGACTTCACAAAATACCATAATGTTATTAGTCACTGACCAGTCTTTTTCTTTTCCTTATTTTATGAAAACATCTGTTCTCTATACTTTTTCATACTGTGAAGAGCTACCTTCTGGAAGCCCTTTCTGACTTAAACAGATGAGGCTGGTTAGTACAGAAAAAAAAAGGAAGTTAAAAAAAGAAAGCAAATTATAAACATTTCAGCCATCCTTTCTTTTTTTCTGTTTTTGTTTGTTTGTTTGTTTGTTTTTTGTGTTTTTTTTTGAGACAGGGTTATCTGTCTGTCACCCAGGCTGGAGTAGAGTGAAGTGGTGTAATCACGGCTCACTGTGGCCTCAAATTCCTAGGCTCAAGCAATCTTCCCACCTCAGCCTCTAGAGTAAACTGGCATTACAGATGTGTACCACCACACCTGGCTAATTTTTAAACTTTTTTTTAGAGACAGGGTCTCACTGTGTTGCCCACACTGGTCTCAGACTCCTGGCATCAGGCTATCCTCCTGCCTCAGCCTTCTGAGTTGCTGGGATTACAGGTGTGAGCCACTGCTCATTCATCCTTTGATATCACTAATATTTACTAAGCATCTACTGCTATATATTCATGATTGCACTCAATAGAAAAAATAAAACAACAAAGACACCTTGTTCAGGTTGCAAATGTCCACTTCACTTCTATAGAAAAGGTCGCTTGACACGGTGGCTCACACCTGTAATCCTAGCAACTTTGGGAAGCCAAGGCAGGTAGATGGCTTGAGCTCAGGGGTTCAAGACCAGCCTAGGCAACATAATGAAACCTTTTTTCCACAAAAGTACAAAAATTAGGTGGGCGTGGTGGTGTGTGCCTATAGTCCCAGCTACTCAGGAGGCTGAGGTGGGAGGATCACTTAAGCCCAGGAGGCTGCAGTGAGCCAAGATCGTGCCACTGCGCTCTTGCCTGGGCAACAGAGTGAGGCTCCTGTCTCAAACAAAAAACAAACAACAACAACAACAACAACAAAATGTTCCTCTGTACTCTCAGGACTTGAAAGGTTAGAAGAACCTAACGACATATGTAGGAGGCGAAAGCTACTTGACTATTTTTACAGAAACCTGAAGCAGAAAGGCCTCTGAGGTCACAGAGTTACATATTCCTACCAAATGATTCAATTCTGTCCACATCATCCCTCAAAATCATCATCAAGTTTACACAAGCATCTAGATAAGAAACAGCATACTCCATTTTTAAAAATAATCCCAACTTTTAGGAATGACTGTCATTTAGTTTTGATCTGAAAACTATCTCCAGTAACTTCTTACTGGCCCTCCTGCTCTTCTCTGGAGTTAGGAAGACTGACATAAGCAATTTAAACACTTCTCTATGACAGTTTACACACACATGAGGATAATGACCCTATGACTGCAAAGCCTACACATCCCCAGCTTATTTAATCAGTTCTCCTAAAAGCTGCTATCCAGGCTCCTCACTGCCACAGGTGCAATCTACCTCATCTATGCCTTTTGTAAAATGCAGCACCCAGAACTGGCTGGGAATGGCCAGATCAGTCCTGGCTAAATGTAAACATCACCTATCCTGATCTGAGCGCTACATATTTGGTAATTTAGCCTACAAATAAACTGCATTTTGACAGATACGTTACGCTGATTAAACTGAGTCAACTAAAACTATAGGGTGAAAGGCAAACGTCTCTTTCATCCTGCACTGAAGAGGCTGGATTTTAACTATAATGGGCCTCCCTTCAACTGTTCCCCTGTTATTCATATGCTCACATAGTCACTGACTCAGGCAGCCTCTTGACTGAAAATGGCGACTAATCCTGTCCACTCCACATCCTGGACTGCCATTCTTCCCCAGACCACAGAAACCTGTTTCTTTCCCATAAGCTGTGGATTAAGGCGGAATGCATAAACTACTTCCTGATAGCAAGTTTCCAGGTAAAAAGCACTGTCACCGTTGGCACTGTTTTCCTTAAAACATTTAAAAATCCATACTTTTACCTAGAATGTCAATATAAAATCATCAGTAACTATGGTCCATTTTTAGGGTTAAGGTTTATTGCTTCAGTCTCTTTCAAACAATTTTTGATACTTAAACCTTTACAGAAAAATTTATAAAGTTCCACATATATCAACAATTCATAAATTCCAAGGGGCTTTTGGATAGTCATTTTTTTTTATCACTATAAAAATTTCACTTCCCATTTAAAAAAAGTGCACACACTTACACGAGGCTAACTGCTCATTACATGCTCAGTCACAGGGTGACAGAAAAAAAAGTCACCACCATAAAAGGATGTCTGCCTAGCCACTCTTAAAACAACATGCCACGGTTAACTTACTTCAGTTTGGACAAGTACTGACAGCGACTACACAGAGACCAAAACGAGTCACTGATACGTAAGTACTAGATCTTTTGCTCTTTCAACAAATTTTTTAAAGAAAAACTTGAAAAGCCTAATTTTAAGGTAAAAGGTAAAAAGGAAAAGAATCTATTTAAGAATAAGCTATCATCACTTCTAACAAATATTATACTGATAAGTTTACAGTCTCTGCTGACTGGTAGGTCTAGTTAGTTCTTATAAAGCTGAGTGAAAGTGATAGGTCCCACCAGCAATATCTTTGTTAAAAAATAGAGATTACTTTGTGTACTTCTGTGTAAACTCACAATGACAAAAAACAATATCAAGCAAAAATATGCAAATAATGCCAATATTTTAGGGTAACTTAATATGAAGGAAAAGGAACAAAGTTATTTTAATATAGAGTATTCCTACACTACAGGAATTATTAGATATTTCTCAGGATAGAATCTCAGTGGTAGAATTCCTAGGAAAAAGAGTATGTTTTCTAAAGCTTTAGATATAAAATGGTACTTTTTAGTTTACAAAAACATTTTACCAATTTATTCTCCCACCACCAAAGAGTACCAATCTTTGCTTTTTAAATGCTAAGTCCTACTAATTAGATAAGTGAAAAAAAAAAGTCTGCAAATAAGACTAAACATATCTTTTCTAGAAGTTCCATGTGCCTGGGGAAGAAATCACAATGAATTTTGTGCAGTGATTTGGCAATATTTATGTCCAGGTTGGGAATGTTGGTACACACAGAAACTCTTGGCAAAATAGAAGCTGTGAAGAGACTTCCTTTAAAGGGTGGTGAGGGTTGTGCATGTGTGTATTTGTGTGTGTGTATTGGGGGGGTTTAGTATTTTGGTTTTTTTAGTGTCACTCTGAGTACAATGTAGTGTAGTAAGAACAAGGGCTCTGAAATCAGGCTCAAATGTAATTTACAAGCTGGGTAGTCCTCATACAAGTTACCTGATATCTCTGGCTTCAGCTGCTTTACCTGTAAAATGGGGAGTATTATAATTGCCAAGTCCTACCAATATTGCCTCTCATTATAAGTGTTAAAAAACTGTCTCTTATCATTCCTCTCCCATTTCTCTGGCCACTAATGTACCAGAGGGTGAATCCAACAGATATGTTATAGATATTTTACATAAAGACCCTGAATCTGGCCGGGCGCAGTGGCTCACGCCTGTAATTCCAGCACTTTGAGCTGAGGCGGGAGAATCACCTGAGGTCAGGAGTTCGAGACCAGCCTGCCAAACATGGTGAAACCCCATCTCTACTAAAAATATAAAAATTAGCCAGGCATGATGGCACTCGCCTATAATCCCAGCTACTCGAGAGGCTGAGACAGAAGAATCTCTCGAACCTGGGAGATGGAGATTGCAGTTAGCCAAGATTGCACCATTGCACTCCAGCCTGGGCAACACAGTGAGACTCTGTCTAAATAAATAAATAAAGGCCCTTTGTCTATGGATGATCACACATCTAACTGTGCTTACTGGTGGGACTCCACATTTCTTGTATTTTAGCATGTTTTCTCTCTAGGGGTTCACTGTACTTTTTGGACTAAAACTGCAAAGAATACGCTGCTCCACAAAGTATTCACTCACATGTTTATGTATCACGTCAGTGACAATGGTGATGATCTCTTGCATAAATTACCTTTATCTGGCTTCCTAGAGATTATTAGTACCATGACCAGTCACTTAATGGAATAAATATTAACTCAGGTTGCTATATGACTTTATTTATTTACTTATTCTATAGATATTTACTAGATACTTACTGTAGGTTGGTTCTGTAGCATTCTATAGGATAAAATGTTGGATGAGATCAAGTCTTCATCCTTAAGAAGCTTACATTTAAAGGAGCTTCCCACCTAATAAAGGCATTTACAGGGATACTTTTTCTCTGCTATGGTTAAGGCCTGTTAGAGTCGGGAGGCAGCCCTGGAACGTGGCCTGTGTGGAGGATGCGTGATATCCTCCGGTCTGGGGAGTTGATCACCTTCCCAAGAAGTCTGGGCATCATATAAATGAGATAACACATGTGAGAATTCTCTGAAAGCTGTGAAAGTAACACAGATTCCTGTGGTGTTTTGGAAGCCCAAAGAGAAGAATACAAATATTTTGTTAAATCTCTGCAAATATCTGAAAAGTAGTTTAAAAATTCAATTAACAGCATAAAAGCCTCTTCTAGATATTCACCATCTATTTTTCAATTGAAATTTCAGTCTAATTGTTTTATTATTAAATATTTTTAAAATAGTAAAATCTAAATCCATTTATAAAACCTTTACTTACTTTAAAATATGCTACACATAAATTAATAAACTCCTTCATTTGAATCAACATCTCTTCTCCCCTGCGCCCATTCCCTTCCCTTCCCACAGCTCTCCTAGTCTCTCTTGCTCAGATAGCATGAGTTAGTGTACGTTAAAGTTTTGAGATGCCTTCCTATTTTACTTGTTCTCTACCCATAATATCAGATCATGTTGGAAATAGGAGCTAGAGATAAAATGTACTGTACTGAATGCGACTTCTTAAGCCAAACTGCCTGGTTCTGAATCCTAACACTTAACAGCTAGGTCTTTAGTCACTAAAGTGCCCTGGTGCCTCCATTTCACCATCTGTAAATGGACTTGTGAAAGTTCTGAGAGGATTCAATGAGGAAACACATTAATTAGAGTGCCCAGGGCAGTAGCTGGAACACAATCTGTGCTTAGCAATTTTTGTGATTATTATTCATCAAAGAGTGTAATAAAGAACCTTTCTTTGAGGACTAAGAAAGCTAGAATGTTGCTATTCTTTAACTAAGGGATATTTATTGAATATCAATTACATACTACCTAGAGATACAAGAAATTAACACCACAGGGTCCCCACTCAGAGTACTTCACAGGCACATGGGAGGCAGGGAAGAAAATCAATGATACAGACACTATGACAGAGCACAGTGCCTTCACAAATACACCCACACTGCCTTTCAGAAGATGGAGAACAGGAAAGCACGTGGGACACTTGGAACTAGGCCTCGAAGGAAAATAGAAGCTGAGGATACAGAACAGGGGCTGGGGGACATCAGACAGAGGGAAGAGTGTCATTGGGCAGAGTTGTTAGGGAACACGGAACACCCAAAGGTTACAAGTGATTTTGTAGGGCTGGAACCAGGGCATGATCAGAGGGAAGCCGGCCAGCAACCCCATTGAAGAAGGAATGGAGCCTCAGATCATGAAGGAACTTGTGAGTCATGACACAGAGCCTGTGGTTTGCCTGGGGTTGGATGGGCCTCGTTTGAGAGCCTGGTGGGAAGCTGCTGCAGTGGCTGCGGGCAGAACGGCGGGAATGGCACACAAGCAGACAGACACGGATGTGCGGCAGAGCACAGGCTGAGGCACAGGGACTGCTCACTGACCAGAGGCAGCAGGTGAGGGAGAACATGGAGTCCTGGACGCCTTCATGACCCCTGTGCCATGGGCACCCCAGTAAGATCCCTGAGCGAATGACTGAGTTGACCTGGAATTTGGTTTACCCAGTTCCTCTCTAATTTCCATGCAATAATAGAGACAAAAACGAGATCGAAACTCCTTGAACTTGAAAGAGAAAAGGTACACATTATTTCCAGAAACATTCAGGACTCAGAGAAGAAATATTATAAAGACATGGAGCTTCATTATAAAGAGCCGTTTTATATTATGCAGTTAGTTTTCCCACATGTTGGATCCTACAAATCATGCCAGATAGAAACACAGAATATCTTTCTTACGCTAAAATTTCTTACACTAAAAGAATATCTTTCTTATACTTTCTTATACTTTCAATACTAAAATGAGTATTGTGGTGGGATTCTTAGTTTCTTAGTTCTCTAAAAATATGTCATCTTCATCTTCAATAACTTCCATATTTTTCAATATTAAAGCTGCCAAAAGCCACACAGGGAATAAGTGACCAGTGAAAGGTGAACGAAAAATAACTGGAATATGTGAAACCCCAAATGTGCAAGTGGGTGTTCAACGAAAGAATTCCCATGCTCATGCACCATTCCATCATTTCCAAGGAATGCGTCTAGGGAGCTGAAGTGGGTTTTCACTGCCTGCCCACTGGGTTCAGGACACATATAAAGCACAAAGAAGAAATGGCAGACTGCTAAATACTTTTTCTGTCTTGAAGAAGTTTCTCTGTCTTTTTCTGTCTTGAAGAAGTTCTCTGTACTTGGTCCTGTGAATGGCCTGTTGCAGACCTATTGGGAGCTGGTCTGATCTAGGCTATGCAATGGAGTTGGCAGGCCAGTCATAGAGCTCCTCAGTAAGGCTGTCCCGACTAAGCCCCTCAGCTAGTCATGCTCCATTAAGCCAGAAAGCAAGTCCCCCAGGGGGCAGGGGAGGTCCCCAAACAGAGAGACCACAGTCAATTCTATGCTGATTATCATCACTCTGGTATGCGTGATTTTTTAAAAGGATATAGGGAATATCGATCTCAAACAATGAATCTTGGACAACAATCTCCTTCCAAACAATGAATCATGGACACAGACACAGCTATCAATTTAGGAATCAAAGTTGGCTGGGAAAAAGTCACCTTACAGTGTACAAAGAGTTAACCAGGCCACAGAGGCATGTACTGACTACTGTGGTAGTTGGTTAGCAGTGTATTATTTAATAGAGTGGACTACCTGGCTACCAGTGAAGCACGGAGGGCTGTGACTGTGCTGGTCACAGCTCCACAGCAGCACAAGCTCCTCTTGCACACCAGGAATGCACGTTTCCCACTGTCCATTTTACAGGCAAATGGCACCACAATACCTCAGATGACAGCTGTTTAGTCAACTAAAAAGGAGGTGAGGAAAATCACTAGGTGAATGCTAGGACCCAGTATGTGTGACACTGGGCCAAATTTAGATGTCCCTGTTTGAATAAGGAGGCATTTTCTAATAATTGCCAAATACTTATAAAACCAGGTAACCAGAGGAGGAAGTAATGAATTAGTTCTTTCTTCCCTGGAGCAGGTTTATTCTCAAGGGAGCTGAAACAGCCCCAGCGCCTGCCGT